TTAAAAAAAAATATACATATGGTTCAGAACGGATTAACCATATTTACATTGAACCTTATGGGAAAATTTGATTCAGGTCGCGACCAATTTGGGTCACGACCACATTCGGAGGGGCCAGAACGGATTAACCATATTTACATTGAACCTTATGGGAAAATTTGATTCAGGTCGCGACCAATTTGGGTCACGACCAGAGTCGCGGAACGAATTAAGTTCGTGAACTGAGGTACCACTGTAATTTACCAACTTTCCCCAGAGAAAACATAGCAGTGCCTGGGAACAGTTTTTTTTATACTGGCCCCCAACAACTCTCTTAACTTCCCACTGCCCGTCTTGCCCCTTATGCACCTCAAATCCATGGTCTTTTGCCTGAGTAGCCCCTTCCTCTACCACTCGGAGCTCTTCCAAGCTAATCTGCTTGGCGTAAAAATGCATCACTACTCTCTGTGGCTGCTCAGAAACATGGGAGCTCACGTAGTCCTCCTCAGCCAGGCGGAAGGAGGCAGCCGCAGGGCCTAACTCTTCACACAGTTCTCGATTTAGTCCTTCTTCCAAGGAAATATCCCGGGGATCCACAAACCCGCCTGGAAATCCCAGCCGACCATCAAACCTCATCTGCATCTGGAAGAGAAGAGATTCAGACTGATAGTTCATATACTCTCTACGTCACCCTTCGACTCCAGGTATGGGAATCTTTTTGGTTTGGCTTAGGAGCCTCTGGCCTGCCCTCCTCATCGCATCTTTTCCTTGTTACCTTATAAAGTAAAATCTCCCTAACTCTGGGAGAGCTCAGGGGTCTTTAATCTTGGGGAATTCTGGGGCTCTGTGAACGTGGATGAAAAAAAAATCCCAACTTTATTTTCATTAATCTCTAATTGAAATTTAGCTGCTTCTGTTATTAATTTAATGGATTAATAAACACATATAATAGTACATATGATTTCTAACATCTTGATTACTGTACTTGAGCATAATTGGTTTTCTTTGTAATATAATTTATATCTATGTATTTTATTTTATGCATTTAAATACATTTTTCTGAGAAGGGGTCCACAGATTTCACTAGATTCTCAAAGAGGCCCATGGTTAAGTTTAAGAATCCCTGCCCTAAAGGATCCATTTGTCTTGTTACCACTACTAAAGACTTTCCTGGATTAGAAATACTTTTGTTTTTCTCATCTATTTCATTCCATCTCTGAGGGAATGAGTCTAGGTGGAATGTGAAGAAGACAAAGAGCAATACAATCAATTTGTTAAATTTTAAACCAAGAATCAAATTGACTTGTATTAAATAACTTTAAACAGGTTATAAACAAGCTCACAATATTACAACATATCTACAGGTTGCCAAACAAGAGTTGTTGCACGATGGGTGGCATACAAGTCGTCTTCTTCCTCTCCTTCTCCTCCTCCTCCTCCTTCTTCTTCCTCCTCCTTCTTCCTCCTCCTCTTCTTCTTCTTCGCTAAATACATACTCATAAACTTGTCACTGTGACAAATTCAGACTTTTCTAGACTGGAAAATCATCCTTCTGTCCACCCCTCCCAAACCCCTCTCCTACAGTTCCCCCTCCCTCCAGGATATAAACTGGGAGGAGGCAGCCTGCATTGATCAGCAGTTACACCACTCAATCAATACTGAGCCTCCCTTAATTTTTTTGGTCGGGGAGGGGGGTAAGGGGTGAAGGCAATAATGGCTAGGCCAAAGATGCAAAGTAAGATAGACTGGATGACCTTGGACTATTTTCAATAAGATATTTAGGACAGGATAAGGTCTTTCCTGTCCTTTTTATTATTATTAGAGGACTAATTTGGCTAAGAGAGCCAGTTTGGTGTAGTGGATAAGGCACCAGGCTAAAAACCATGAGACTGTGAGTTCTAGTCCCGCCTTAGGCACGAAGCCAACTGGGTGACCTTGAGCCAGTCACTCTCTCTCAGCCCTGGGAAGAAGGCAAGGGCAAATCATTTCTGAAAATTCTGCCAGGAAAGCTGCAGGGACTTGTCCAGCAGTTGCCAGGAGTCAATACTGACTTGAAAGCACCAAAAAAGAAAAAAGAAAAAAAAACTAAATTCAGTACATTTCCTATGTCAAAAACAGAGGAACCTCTACACCTCAGATGTGGTCAGAGGGTGGTCAGGGTCCATAAAAATAAATTTGGGTCTGAATAATGTTCTGGGGTCTCAGGTTGCTCATCAAGCTTTAAACTGGGTGGCCAAACCTCCCTCCCCCCCTTCCCATTTCTCCCCCAGCCACCATAACAATCTGCACAAAGAAAATATTGCCAGTTTGGTGCAGAGATTAAAGGCACCAGGCTAGAAACCAGAAGACTGTGAGTTCTAGTCCTGTTTTAGGCACAAAGCCAGAGGGGTGACTTTGGACCAGTCGTTCTTTGTCAGTCCTAGGAAGAAGGCAAGGGCAAACCACTTCTGAAAATTTTACATTAGATACATTTAAAACCGCATACACACACACAAATTTCTGGAGCTGAATCAGCATGTTTATCTTCAAACCTTTTCTAAGGTTTTGGGCATTACTGACTATAAAGAGGGATAAACAGGGATAAATATTATAAACCCTCTCCAAAGGACAACATTATACAACAAACATGCACAGGAGGTCCAGAGAGTCACTAACTCCATACTTCAGAAGTTTTATTCTTTTTTTAAAATAAAATGTCTTAGTCCAAAAAGATGCTATCAGACTTCTTGCGATTTTTGGTTGCCATGGATTAATATGGTTCTCCTCTTTCCGTAACCCCAAACTGTTAAACTGCACTGCTGTTCCTTAACTAAGAATTAAGGTGAGTCGGGAATAGGCTATGCCAGAAGTCTTAACACTACAACACCACTTTTGCAGGAATTTCCTGGGTCAGGAATGTGCAACCTTTTTCTGGTCCAGGCAATGCTTGACTGCTGAAAAGCATGCTGGGGACTGTACTCCAAGAACTGGGCCAAATTAAGACAAAACTAAATTGAACTTAATTTTAATAAACAGTAACATAAATAAATTACAGAATTTATGGTTAACATACTTTCCCTATATTTGATAATATTCACTTTCAATCAACGCACAATTCAGAAACCTCTACAAGGCAAATATGGCTCTGGGCTCTACCCCTTTGCATTAAGGTAAGCCTCTCTGTGCCTCCTCTCAGCAACATGGGGATTATCCTCACTTTACCTTACACACTTGAGGTGATGATTACAGCCAAACAATGCTCTAGACATTAAATAGTTTGTGAAATGCTCTAGACATTAAAATAGACAACATAAATGCTAATTAATATAACTGAGTAGACCAGGCAGGACAGAATGAGAAGAAATAAGGCCCAGGGTATTTTTGTTCCAATTTGTAAAGATTTCACACCATCTACCTTCTTCTCAGCACTATAACTACAAAAATCTGAACAACCACTAGATGGAAACAAAGAAATACAGAAAATCCCAACTGGTTGCTGCCATCTCATGATCAGCTGGATTCCCACAGCCCAGATCTGTTAGCTCTACAACACACCCTAATCAGTAAAGTTCATCCCAACCCAGATTTTCTATATTTTCTCACACCTTATTCAGACCAAGTATTTACTGCCAGAGACTTCAGATTCCACCATCCACCCGCACCCCAATCCCAGTAAATCCAAGTCTAATTCTTAAAAGGTGATAAACTTGCGTTTGGCTGTCTAACCCTCATCAGAGGGGGATATCCTTCCACAATAAAAACTGATATTGCGAGGAGATCAGGGTGTACTGGGGAATACACGTATACATAAATCAACCTTCAGTCAAATCTATCTGCAGAGCACTCGGTGGTAAATACTACGGGAACAAATCTTATCTCTAGTTTACCAAGTACAGTACTGACTTTTTAAAAAGGATCTATGCCTGGAGCAAGTGGGCCATTAGAAGTAAGCACCCATTCCTGATGTTTTAAATTTAGTATGCCCTCCCCCCTTTCTTTCCCTACTCAGGAGGCTCCCCCCAACTTCGGCTAAAACCAATTCTCACCAACACTGCGAAACGCAACGGGATCTTGCCAAAAAGCCGGCCGGGGTTGGGTGCGTATAAGAGGGCATGACAAGCGTGCTTCCAGCCGGGTGGCCCGAGGCTCAGCGCTTCAGCCTTAGCCAGAGCCCGAGGTTCGCTCATCGCTCCCGGCCTCAGCGCCCTGGGCTATAAGCCTCGACGTCGCACCCTCGTGAAGATCCACCTTCCTCCGTCGGAGGAGGAAAAAACACCCCGGCGAACGCCGCTGCAGGTAGCTCTCAACAGTGAATTCCCCCTGCAGCCAATCAGATATCGAGAAGGAAGAACCCTTGGAACGTTGAGCTACGTTCGGTAGCCTTTCCGGCCGTTTTACATTGTTGGTCAAAAGAGGGCGCGTCGAGCCAACCTTTGATGTGGCTGCAGGGTGACGAGAATCCCGCGGTTTTATTTTCCTCTCTCTCGGTGGTCCACCATTTTGCCTTGAAGGTGTAAAACCGAAATGCACCCTGGATATTTCAGGCAGAGGCATAACTAAGCAATGTTGCATTGTTTATAGGATATGCTGTTGCTTGACATCAGAAGAGGCATTTCTTTTCTGTATCAATTCCAGGCCTATTTCCGCCTTCTTTCCAAGAATCCCCACGCTCAGCAACGTGCTCCATGAAAACGTAGACCCACTAAGAGTCTGTGCTCCTGAGTTCTCACGGTTAGAATATACAGTAAATAGGTTTCTTGAGTTGGAATTTAAGCAGCTATCATTACATATTTCCAGACACAGAAGACGGATGTCCTTCAAGGCAAGCCCATTCAGATGAAACCACACTAGTTTCATCTGTAAACAACCACCTGTCTTCAGAAGACAACCTGGGATTATTTATAATATAAATGAGTAGCAAACACACGCTAACGTTTCATGTGGAAACATATCACTGAAAGTAAGAACACTTGCAAACTAGCATTTTTAAGGAATAATCAGGATAGGATTCTGTGGGAAGAATGAGTTGGAATACATCTGAAAAGTACCACTGTGGCCTGTAGGTAGCTGTGAAAACTTCCCTGTGTAAAGGATTTTCAGCACATAGTTAATCAGCATTATCAAAAAGGATTTGTTCAGATCTCCAGGCAAAGATTACAACAGCCATCAATCAAGACTCCTCTCCACAGGCTATTTTTGTTCCTCTAGGACAGTGATGGCAAACCTTTTGGGCTTGGCGTGTCAAAACTTTGGAAAATGCCTAACTTGACTCTGCTGGTGTGTTATACACACACACCCCTGAACAAAAGAGAAACAGTTTTTTACATATTCATTTATTTAAAAAAAAATCAGTCCAATCATGTGTATTATATAAGAAACATCAAATAATTACAAAAATGAAATATGAAACAAACTCAGTTTCTTTGATAACTCAAACAGGGAAAATAGTTGTCAGGTGTTGGTGAACGCTGGTGCCACCCAAAATGTCGTGGCCTGTCACCTTTGACACACATCATAGGTTCACTGCTCTAGGAGCTCAAGGCAGCATCCCTAGCACTCCTATTTTTCTTCCATTTCATAGAATTCACTCCAGGACATCCAATAGGCAGAATCTGCTCTCTCAAGACCTATACAGTATTTGGGGGTGTGAGAAGATACAAATGTTTTATGTGCTGCCTTACCTGTATCTGTTGCTGTGATCAAATGGAGTTCTGAACAGGTGGGTTCAATTCCAGCTACTTCTCTCTCCTCCCACTTTACCTATGACATCACTGCTTTCCCAAATTAAATGGTTAATGTTGCTCCTTCCCCCAAATCTTCATCTCTCTCTTCCCAGGACTGGAGGCTAATCTCTAGGGTCCTTCTCAAGCATTGACAAATTTTGAGTACTTGCTGTAAAAAGCCTGTCTGCAGCCCCTCCCTGCTTTGAATGGGTTTGGGGGGGGGTTGGTGGTAGTGGTTGGGGTTGTGAAATGTTAGTACAAAAACCATGAGGAGAGAGGATTCATCCCCCCCACGTGGAGAGCCATGAGAAGAAAATGAGGGAAACGGGAAAAAAGGCGGGATCCAACCCCCTCCCACACAACGCAGCAAAGCTAGGCCGCAGTGGAGCCGCCCCTCCCTTTGTGCTCATATGAGACAGGCTTGGTTGAAACCCCTCTCTGCTTTGAGTGGGTTTGGTTTTTTGGGGTTTTTTTTCTGGTGGTGGTGATGGTGTCTTTGTCAGTCTTGACTCCTGGTGACTGCCTGGACAAGTCCCTGGAGTTCTCTTGGCAAGATTTTGGAAGTGGTTTGCCCTTCCCTGCTTCCTAGGGCTGAGAAAGAATGACTGGCACAAGGTCACCCAGCTGGCTTCATGCCTAAACTCCCGGTTTCTAGTTTGATGCCTTGAGTGTTGGGTTTTTTTCAGATTTATCCTTATTTATTATTTTTACAACTCAAGGTGGTGAACATACCTAATACTCCTTTGTCCTCCTATTTTCCCAACAACAACCCTGTGAAGTGGGTTGGGCTGAGAGAGGATGACTGGTCCAAAGTCACCCAGCTGGCTTTCATGCCTAAGGCGGGACTAGAACTCAGAGTCTCCTGCTTTTTAACCTGGTGCCTCACCTCTAGACCAACCTAGCGCTCAAACTGGTTTAGTGGTGTATTATTTATATTCTTTCTTCCTCTTTTAGATGCTCCAAAACTGTTGTAACAAAGAATGTGAGGCACTTAAGGAGTGACAATAGCAGGGTCATTACAGTTACTTGGATTGGTAAGAATGGGGACACTGGTATGTAGTGGGAACGCAGTATGAGTTGGGGTATACCCTCATCATGTGCTTGATGGTATGTGACTGGCCCAACCCCGTCTCCAGTTTGATGGCACTAAAGTTTGCTCTATTTTGTTTAAAAAACAGCACATTTGTATTTTCTGATTCTACATTCTTTTCCTCTAAACTGAGTGCATGTTTTGCTCACTGATGAATGATGGTGGGGAAGCCACCTTAGCTTCAGCTCCCAAATAATGCAAATAGGACAGTTCCAGCTGAGTGCTTCCCTATTTTGTGTGTCCAATTATCCTGGGCCACACCAAGACACAAACAAAAGCTCTCTTTTGTGTCAAGAAACACATTTAACTTTACAAACATCCTATTATAGTTATTGTTTATAATAAGTTTTAAAATGAACAAGTTTTAAAAATTTACCCTTTGACCCAGCTAGACTACTTCTGAATCCCATCTGTGGGATGTAGACAAAGTGACCACCCCCAACCCCCACTTACACTAAGCACTGGCCCCTGTCCTTTAGATTTCTAGCTACAATATAGGATGAAGCAGACACAGCACCTTTCATCCATTTCCTGCAACTGTACTTTTTTCCCCACTGTACTTCCTCTGCCCACCATGCACACTGAAAAGGTGGTGAAAAGGTACAGGCACTAAGACAGCAGAAGAATTTGCAGAAGTCCTCCGCAGGAGTTTTTAAATGGCAATAACTTCTATAAAAGTTGGTAACCCCTGACTAGAAGGATCAATTAACTAGAGAAGAAGAAGACAGGGGATAGGGAATGAGCCAAGACAGACACATGTATACACCCACACCTTTCAAGGGGACTTCTCCACAAGTCACAACACAGACACCTGGTTCCAAAAGTTTTATTTCCATCCATCTGTAGGGGTCTAACCCCTGGCCAAGGACAGGACAACGATGTCCTGCAGGACATAAGTCCAATCACTGGAAAGCGAAGAGCACAGCCAAAGGCCTCGCTAGGAGGCAGAGTCAGAGGCCTCTGAGCTGTCCTTGACATCTGTGCTCTCTGTAGCCTCACTGACCTCACTGACGTCCTTGCTGTCCCCACTGTCTTCAGCCCCAGGTCCAGTGCCCACAAGGGTTCCTGGGCATCTGTCATCCCGGCAACACTCGCCCACATGGTTAGTCTTGAGATCACCGCCCTTGTTCTCAATGGAGCCCAGCACAGAATGCTTTCCCTTCTCTTTCAGTTCCACCTGCCTCCGCAGCTGTGAAGAAGAGATGCTTGCTTAGAATACAGTATTCTGTCCAAGGGTGGTATTAGAGAGGTATGATTACACAGTTCTCAGACACACAGAATCAGCAAAAAAATATGCATCCACGTTATTAACCTTATGTTGCCTCCAAGGGTAGTCCTGTTATGGTATACTTCAGGACAAACAGAATGCCAAAATCAGAGAAGCAGCCATGGGGACTACTTTCAATATTACATGTTCCTGTTCACAATTCTGCAGCCAGGCAGCATTTTCAGACAAAGACATGCCAGGGTTCTAAAGAATTTGATGAAGAATGAACAGATGTGCTGGTCTACACTTATCAATCATTTGGCCTTAGCTCTCCTTGCCAGCAAGAGAGGCAAAACAGAACAGGACATGGTTTGTTTTTTCCTCTTCTAACAACAGAACCAAAAACTAAGAAGAAACTCTGCATATGACTCTGCTTGTTTAATGTAGGGTACTATTGACCACAAATGTTTATGCCATGAAAGTTTTGCTAGTCTTCAAGGTGCCACATGTCTCTCTGTTGCTTTAGGTTCAAAGTCAAGACCTAGCTGACTTTGGCTGGTCTTGAAAAAAGCAAAGCAAGGTTGGTCTTGGTTATCACATGACTAAGGAATCCTAAGACTTTCAAAGTTGAAAAAAAAAAAGGCCTGAAAAAGATCCACTTCCATATTAGCAAATAATCTGCATGAATGCTTCCTTATAGTCAACAAGAGTCAAAATCAACTCAAGGGAGTCTTTACCCATTTTTACAAACTGGTAAGACATTTCCAGAATATATCAAATATAGCCCAAGATGAAAGAAAGACAGCTAGATGCTACAGCTTTCATGCAAATGTCCCCTTTCTAGGCTGCTCAGCCCACCTTCAGATTGAGAATTTGACTATCAAGACATAGCTTATTCAGAGTTATTTGTGCTGTCATGAAGGCAAATGGAGCTAAGCTTTTGTTCCTGCCAGAAGGCAGGCTGGCTGTCCATCCATGTCTGCACATTGATGATTCTGACCTGCTTGGTAGGGCCACTGCAGCTAACAAACAGCAGACTTAGGATAACAAGGCCGTGTTCTCCAGCACAAGTCCACCAATAGAATCTGTGCTCACCTCCTCTGCCATCTGTGTCAAATCACGCTTCATAGCATATGCATCCTCCCCATCAGCATAGTATTTAGGCTCCACTTCACTGATCCTATGGGAAAGAACAAGCATGTTTCCTCTTTTGAAAAAACAAAATCAAGTCTCCAAAATCTCCTTTCCTCACAGCTGGGACAACAAAATACAGAGAAATGTAAGCTGGAACATCCTAGGTTTATACCCATGTACTAATATGCAATGTGATACTCTTACAAGCTCAGACTCCTTCCTATAATAGAAAATTCTGGCCTACACTACAGGGTTGTTATAAGTATTACTGAGATAAAGTATTTACATGCTTGGAATATTCAAAAGGTGAATGACTAGACAGTCATACTCTGA